GGCATCCAGTGATTGGTTAAGGCAGGCTTCAGTCATTTGGCTCACAATGTCTTCCCTCTTGCTCTGGATCCATTGCTGGGCTATATCAGGCTGCAGGTACTCTGAATTTCCCTCAGCCAAGAGTGGACTTATTACTGCTAAAGAGCACAGGGTGGTGCTGTGATCACACAATGACACCCCAGGTAAAAAAATCTTTGTTTTGAGGAGCCAACTGGGACCTAGAAGTTCCCGGAGAAGAACTGCTTTGATGAAGCTGAGAGAATCCACATGACTCCTCCTGTGGACTATGATTTACAGGTATATTCAGGGGCAACTCCATTTTCTTTTTGTCACGTAAGTGACTAGTACTTGAACTACTCTGTAACTTTGTTTTCTTTAACTGGATCACAGCTTCAAGAAAAGTTATCTCTTCAAATGTTCTCAGAAGTGGTTCAAGTTCTATCAAACATTTTAAGAAAGATGGTCTTCCATTTGGGTTTTGTGCCCATCCACGTTCTATTAGTGAGATCATCGGAGCGTGATGAGGTATATCAAGTGGCAAACTTTCTTCATTAGTGTCAGGTTGACGTCCCTGTGATACACTATACATGATCTGCAAAGGATTGGTGACTTCTTCAAAAGGCTGTTTTCTGGATAACACTTCCCATGTGATAATTGCATAGCTATATATATCATGCTTCACGCTGGCCCTTGTTTTTTGTCCAGGTTCATAGTTCTCAGGTGGCATATATAATTGTCCCTCCCTCTGGTGAAGGCTTGCTACCACGTGACTGTGAGAGGGACATCATGCGCCATTTTGATAAAACAAAATCTGAAATCTTAACGTGGAATTCATTATCCAACAAAATATTTTGAGTCTTCAAGTCATGATGGAGTAGAGGAGGATTCATATTGTGTAGGTAACTTACACCAAATGCAATTTCACGCAGGATGCAAAATCTTAATGGCCAAACAACATCAGGATATTCAGTATTCCTACGTAGGAGTTCATTCAGTGATCCGTTTGGCATGTATTCAGTTAACTATTCCCCAAAATTCAGGCTCAATGAAAATGCCCAAAATTGGAAGGATATAACTGAATCTGGCTTTGTGTAAAATTTCAGCTTCTCTTAAGACATCATCTCTTTCACCGTCAAGCAGCGGGGCTGTGGGTGTGCAGGTGCTTCAGGGCCACCTCGACTCGCCAGTCTGCGTGGCGGGCAGGTGGCCGACACCGTGCCCGAGGCGCCGCGGCTCAGATAGCGCAGGTCAGTGAGCTTGTGGCACAGGATGGTGGGCAGCGTGCTGCAGATGGGCTCCCTGTTCATGGTGACGACGGCGCAGGTCCCGCCAGTCACTAGGTCAACCAGGCCGCCCATCCCTCGCCGTCCCCGCCGGCCGCCGCGTCCCGGGCCGGAGCCTTCGCCCTCTGGAACCCCAGTCACTTCCTCTCGCCTACAAAAGTATTATCTGCAATGTCCTAACTAAAGATTCTGACTTGGTCTCATTTGCACAGTTTTTGTGTCATGTTTGCTTCTTCAATCCGATTACCTAGAATATTTCTCCCTCCCTTTAATATGTAATGTCACTTGATCTAATTTATGTGTAAGAGCACTACACCATTCGTTTTCAGTGCCGCACATGAAAGATACACACTTGTGTGCAGAACGTATTTTCCTTCC